TGCAGTTGGACAGTACTAAAACCGTCATAAAATTTTATCGTATTGAGTCATTACAGTAACTATAAACGTACCGTAATATTTTCCTAAGCGTTCGTCTACATATCGAATGTCGCTTTCGCCCGAGTCACGCAGCTTACTGAAGGTCAGCGAACCTTGGAAAGCACAGACTGGTTTCTGAAAAACTATCGTATTAATATAATTCTCTCGATTTGAACAAGTCTACATTACGAGGCCTCTCTCGCCCACAGGAATTCTGCCTATAGGGCAAAAAGACAGAGTGACACGACACTAATACGATAAAGGACTTGTGCGCCGTAGCAATATGAAACTCCTGACCCACCCTCTTATGCTTTCATTTATGTGTATTCAATCAAGGTGAAGGGTACAGTACTCGCTTGGTTAATCATTCCTTGAATCGATTGACCCATTCGACTACCTTTATGCACTTGGAGGTGATCTGATCCATACAATGAATTGTAGAGGGAAGCCGGTGTGTAACTCAGCGTTTTGATCCGCGCAGGTGAGTGTGGTACCATGAAATAAATGATTCCACGATAAGGTCGGAATTTGAAGAAGGGAAGTAGAAGAAGTATACCTAGTCGAAAGGCAGGAGCGCCCCTGAAGGTGCGAGACGATGCGTGTTTCACAGCGAAGAGCATGCTCCCAGCGGCCTAGCAGGACCTTGTCCGCGCCGTTCGCACCGTGTCACGCCCACCCTCTAGCCGTCTGACTTTAGCAGTCCAGCTTAGCTTAAAGAGGGCAGTAGAGACTTGCAAAAAACAACGGGCAGAGGAGGGCCCCTCTCTCGAGTTTCGGACCTTCTCTTACCTTTGCATCACCGGCCACCTCCTCCTTGAGTAAACTATTTTTTGCGAGTCGCGTGTCGTTACCCACCCTTGAGAGGTCTCCACCAAGCAAGTTTCCCTTTCTTCGACCTCCATCCTTATCTTGGAACACTTCTTCAATGCCCTCCTGTCAAACATTGTAGACGACAAAGAAAAAAATACGCGAACAACATACCCGTAGCGTCTTAATCTCGCCTGCCTCCACTTTCATGGCATCGTTGACAAATTGGTTGAGATCGAACTTGGCCAGCTCTTCTTCAGGAACATTGAATTGATCTCCGAGATTCCTTATCAGCTTCCTCATTGTCATTCTGAATGATTGCTTGCTTTCCTATGTTCACTATCAAAAGGAGGTTACACCATGCTATGGAGGGAACTCTGTAGGGAGCCCATACATTTCTATCCTCCTCTCTTCGCTCAGCCTAACCCTCCTCTCGTTCCCTCACCTTACTCCTAGGCCTCCTACCCTCATCAGTATGCCTTCATTCTCTGAATTTCGTAGGGGTTTCGAAATTTCTCTCCGAATCAACGATTCTATTCCAAACCTACACAACCCACATAACCACTCTGAATGACAAAGACGCCAAAATTCACATGAACCCAATTCTTGTAGGGCTCCCTGAATGCAAAGCGACTACTATCACAAGCTGAAGCTTACTTCTTGCCTCCAAACCACACAACAGTGCTGGCCACATCCTCGACTTCTCGACCAACATAGTGCACTTTTCGTAGAAGATCAGCGGCCAATTCGATAGCCATTGTGGTCAGGGCAAGACCAACGCCAATATAGCAAAACGTGACGAAAAGGTAATCAAAACTGGAATAAAGTTTATTTCTCAATGGATTATTTTTCTGAGCAACTCTGAGAATGCATAAAATGATTCCTTCTGTTCAGAAACCAGAAGCGCGTCGAGTGCAGACCACACACCACAAGTGACGACGGCCTTCACAAAATGTAATTTTTCTGCCAATGAATGATTAGCCTGTTGCAGTTGTATTCTATCAGTTGTCACTAATTACAACTATCATTTACCAAAAATCAGCTATCACTATGAACACTAACCAGATTTACTTGGAGGCCGTCGTCACTTGTGGTGTGTGGTCTGCACTCGACGCGCTTCTGGTTTTCTGGAACGGACGGGATGTGGGAGCAGTGGCTTGTGGTCTATGTGGTTCCCCACTAAAGGCAATTTTTTCTTTATTTTCCACTTTCTTGCGTTCTTACATGCTAAACTCATTCACTGATCATTACTACTAGGATTTTTACTTAATTACACTTTTCATTCACAAAATTATATTGGTTTTTTACTCCATCACGTACCCCTGAAATAAGCAAAAGGTCCTGAACCACTTCCCTGCTTTCCTATGGACATCGGTTAAAGGAATCTTCCACGGAAAAAGCTCCGCCCTCATTACCACAGAAAACGATACCTTAAAGGAATCTTCCACGGAAAGAGTGATCATTTTGTCTTGTGTGTAGGATTAGTGTTGTAGGTATCATATTCTAATGTGTGGTCTACCGTAGTCAATTATAGACCACCTTTTAGGCGCCAAATTCTAGGATTTGATCTGATGTTACTACAGTTTGACCAGGATATTTGACCAGGTCAACTGGTATATAAACCCCACACTTTCATTAGATTGTATTGTATTCTGTTCGTCTGACTAATAAATCTTT